AAACTGACAAGATGCTCCATCTCAATAACATGAAATTCCTCATTACCTTGTGGCCAAAAAAATGACCGGCAGGGTCGCACTTGAAGAGCTGAGGACCTTTTTCTTCATCAACACCCAATATCATAGCAACTTTATACCAAAAAAAGAAAGTAATTAATACAGAGGAATCTATCATGTGGAAAGGAAACATTGAAACCATCCATTTTAGCGATAGAAGTGAAAGAAACAAACCTACGCCAAGTGGTCTCATATAGGCATGCTGTGTGTATACTTGAGACTTATCAGCAATCCTGCATTTCAGCAGATACACTTAAAACTAAATATGCGAAGAATTACACCAATCATTGATTTATGCAGAATGTTAAAAGTAATTATGATTTTATTAACTTAGCAAGACTGTATCTCACACGCAGATATCAGTTAGAAACACATTTAAATATTACATTATTTATGTGTGGGCATTATCAATCACTACGAGATATAGCTGTGCTGCTGTAGGCAAACTCAATTGCTTCTTAAACATAAGAGAACAACGCACAGTTAAAATAGTATTTCACTTAGACAAAATAAAGATACCATCGTGCCAATGAGTCAACCGGCATTTCATATCCATATCTGAAGCGAAACTCAGCAGCCTCATTCCTTGCTTGATGAACCAGAGTTCTTGCATCAGCTGGGTTGCAAATGAAAAATTCAAAATCAAATATTGTTATAAAAAGGTGAATTAGGAATATCAAGCTCCAAGTCCTTCCCATAGTAAATACGATTTTAGCATTTTCAATTTGATTTCGTTCCTATTCTACTTTCTCAGAAAACAGTTTCATTTTCAACATCTTTCTGACATGATAATGCATAAGTACGAGGGTTCCTATTTTACACCTTTCTCAAGTAACAAAGTTCCTTACAACTGAAAATACATCCATTGGTCTCTAACAAACATCAATAACTCTGATACATTTCACTTCATAAACTATCACGAATACACCCAAAACAAATAACCACATAAATCATTTGCATTGCTCTCCAATAATGGTTTTATTTACCAAAGCTACAAACCCCACAGAAGCACAATTCCAAGTAAAGCGCATTAGAATATGCAACCGAAGTCCCAGTGTACGAAACAACAAGTCAAAGCAGAAAAATACCCGTCATGCCCGTAGCCAACAAGCCAAGATATTTGGTAATGGGAAACAAATGGGTGACGCTTGTCTGATCCAAAAGCTTGTCCTGTTCACACATTACGGATGCAATGAAAAACAACCCACATAAATAGAAGTATTACATTAAAAAAAGTAAAAATAAACAAGAAAAATAACCCACCGGGACTTTCTTCTGTGTAACAACGCAGACTGAATCCGCCCCACGAACGCCAATCGACGTTATTCCGGCAGCCTTCACAGCTTTGAAAGCATATTCTGCTCAATTTGCACAGACAGTGCTATATTAACCCTAATTTCTAACAAGGCACTTAAAAAAAAAACAACAGCCGAGCCAAATCAAAACATAAAATTGAGACTAAATGCGAAATTGGATTCCTCCATTAATATAAATGCTTACCAACTTGGTAGAGACGACCTTCAGGAGAGAAGATCGTTATGTGCCTATCGTACCCGCCTCCACTTCCGCGGCTCATTCTTCAAAATACAATCTTTCAATCGAAAATTAGGGCTTTTGGTCGCCGTGGATTGCTCCCAATTTGATTTCTCAAGGAAGAGTTTTGATTTGGGATTTACAAGTGCTGGGGAGAGTGGTGAGTGAAGTTTATACGTCAAAAGAAAAGAGGCTGCTTTTTGTGCTTAATGACTGACAGGAAGAAGGTGAGCATGGTATGGAAATTGGAATAGTTTTAAGGGTAAATAATTTTTTTCAACTGGATGTGCTTTTTAAATTTTCAATCTGTTTTTTTTTTTTTTTTTTTTTGTAAAATGCAACTTGAACCATATATACAATCACTATTTGCACGCTCGACCACATCTTGACCATACACGTGTCCTTTTTTGCGGATTATCGAACGGTCAAAAAGTAGTCGAGCGTACAAATAATTGTATATATATAATTTAGGTTGCATTTTACAAAAACAAAATACTTTAAGTTGAAAATTCTAAAAGCACGTATAGTACAATTTAGAAAAAATTATTTACCCTTAGGTTATGATAAAATCAAGATTATAAATGGAGAAAAAAATGAATTTTTTTCCCCCAAAAATATGGGATTTATAAAAAAAAATAGTAGAAAAAATGGGAAAAAAAGAAAAAAGAAAGAAAAACCCTAATACTAACCCCTTACCCAAGTTCTCTCTCTGTCTAAAACCCTTCTGGGTCTCTCATTCTTTCGTTTACAGTTTTCCCTTTGCTCCTGTCTCGATAAAGGTATGTAGACGCTTCTAATTCTCTTTTCTTCTTCTTTTCTGAATTTCTTGAACCGATTCTAGATACTTTTGATTCTTCAATGTGATTGTTCGCTGAAAGCAAGCAAATTTTCTGCATCTTCATTTCAATATGCTCTGGTTAAGAAAGAAGGTTAAAATCTTGAGCCATTTTTTTCAGTGTTATAAATCCCTTTTTTAATATTTATTTATTTGTTTTGAGGAGGTTTTGAGGGAGTTGAGGATTAGTTTGCGTTGTTATCATAGCTTAATTAATGGAGTTCTTGAGACATCAATATTTCTCAGTCAGTCTTTTGTTTTGGTATCTCCAGACCCCTGTAATTTCTAATTCAAGTTAACTTCAAACTTTCATTTCGATTTGCAGTCAAGGTTTTAGTTGCTTCTTCTGTAAATTACAGTTTAAGACATTTCAACTGGCATGGATTAGAAAAGTGAAGTTGGAGCTTATGCCTTGTCATATTTCTATTATATTCCTTATGTGTGTGCTTTTTGGTACAACATAAACATGGAAGTCTTAAATCTTGACTGTCCAGCTGTCGAACAGTAAAACCACCTTTTCGAATTGAAGCCCCTTATATGCTCTTGCACTTAACTTATATATTTCCATATTGATAACATCAGAAGCATAGGTTCCAATTGACTTTAGAACCTTGTCTTGGACTGTTCATAACTATTTATTTATGTAGCTATAACAAAGTATTTAGTTATAGCTAACAATGCATTCAAAGATGAAATCCTTTTATTTGATGTAACATTTTTACACAATTATTGTCGCATGTGATACATTTGCAGTGATTTAGAAGATGAACTTTAAGAAGGTCAATGTTCCCAAGATGCCTGGTGGAGGAGCAGCCTCTGCCTTAATCAAACTTGGAGTTGTTGCAGGGCTTGGCGTGTATGGAGTTGCTAACTGTCTCTACAATGTCGAGGGAGGACATCGTGCTATTGTTTTCAATCGTTTAGTAGGGATCAAAGATAAGGTTTTGTATTGTCAAATGTCCATAATATACTGTGTGTATTTTCTTCCAAGGCTGTTACGTTTCTGAATCAAAAGTCCATCCTTTTATTCACAAAAGAAAAGGGGCCATAAAATTTGACTCTTTCTAGTTACATCTTTCAGTCACTAATGAGCATGATTTGTGTAAAAAAAATAATTGAGCGTGATTTATTTATTTATTTATTTTTAAATAAAGGGTGACCCTTGAAGTATTAGAGAAACTGGTTAATAAACTTACTGTACTTTTAGCATTTTGCAGCTATTGGTGGAAAAGTATTGAGAATTGACATCGAATTCCGATAAAAAATATTCTTGGTCGATGGTTTGTTCATGTATAAGCAAACATCTCTATATTTATGAAGAATCTCTTAATTTGTCACATATCCGCTGAACATACAGGTGTATCCTGAAGGGACACACATAATGCTCCCATGGTTTGAAAGGCCTATCATTTATGATGTCCGGGCTAGACCACATCTAGTGGAGAGCACATCAGGCAGTCGTGACCTTCAGATGGTAATCTCTCTCTCTCTCTCTCATGCTAAATGAATTATAGCACTTTCTCCTTTTATTTTTATGTTTTCGTTTCCTTTCTTTTGTTGAGGTTTTTAACCTTATCTTATTGTAATGGCTACTGCTAATTAGGAAGAGTGGAAGAGTTATCCAATCCATAAACTAACTTAGCTCGGTTTTCGCATTCAGCTGCTGCTTAATTATTTGTTCCAAGTGCTGTAATATTGTTATTCTTTTAAACATGTTTTGTTTTCTATTGTACTGTGAATTTGATCATCTTCTGCTGTATTATTCTATTTTTTACAGGTGAAAATTGGTCTTCGTGTTCTCACACGCCCTGTACCTGACCAGCTGCCTACCATTTATCGAACTCTTGGTGAAAACTACAATGAAAGAGTCTTACCTTCAATTATCCACGAGACTCTGAAAGCTGTTGTTGCTCAATACAATGCAAGCTAGCTCATCACCCAGAGAGAGGTAAGGAGTAAGGAGTGAGTATTATCCTGTCTGAATATTTTTGCCACTCAGTGGAAAAATTATATTCAAAATGATTTGTCTACCATTAGCCATGAATCTATCAGATGTGGAGAATTATGGGAAATTACCTGATATGGTGGGGATTATATGTTGACGGCACTTTTTGCTTAATAATGCAGAATGTCAGTAGGGAAATCAGGAAAATATTAACCGAGAGAGCTGCCTTCTTCAACATTGCACTGGATGATGTGTCGATTACCAGCCTAACCTTTGGAAAGGAATTCACTGCTGCCATAGAAGCTAAGCAGGTAGCTGCACAAGAAGCTGAGAGGGTCAAGTTCGTGGTTGATAAGGCTGAGCAAGACAAGCGAAGTGCTATAATCAGAGCTCAGGTAAAAAAACATCATTTACTTAGTGGCATCTATATGATGTTCAATTATCTTGTTCATCATTATGTTGGGTTCAATCCTTCAGAAACTTTTACTTATTGTACTTTTTCAATAAAAACAAATTCTAAAAATTATGCTAAGCATCATTTTTTTTTTTTTTTTTTTACNAAACGAACTTGTACTCTCGCCGGAAATGGTGTGATTGCGCTAAAGCATTTCATTTATTTCTTATTATTTATTTATTTATTTATTTATTTTTGTCGTGCTTTGGTGATCAGGGAGAAGCCAAGAGTGCCCAGCTGATAGGTCAAGCTATTGCCAACAACCCAGCATTTATTACGCTTAGGAGGATTGAAGCATCCAGGAAAATTGCCAACACACTTTCTGCTTCAAGCAACAAGGTTTTATTGAACTCGGATGAGCTTCTTTTGAGCCTTCAGGGTCTCGCGTTGCAAGGTGGAAAGATTTGAATGCACAAGATTACCTGACTTTTTTGTTATTTAAATTTTTATCCATCGAGAGTCTGAGTGGGAGTAGTCTCAAATCAAGGATGCTGGTGACATAAAACTTGTGAAGCAATTGTTTCTTGGATTCAATATGCTCTGAATAAAACAAAATTGTGGATTTCGAAACCTATCCTTGTGAGTTCTGGGCACTTGCTGATGTCTTTTAATGTATAGGATTTGTGGGTGTTTGGTGCTTGAATCTCAGGAATATCATGAAATTGAGGTTTTTATTCTTTCAGTCATTTGCTAGCATGTGATAGAAAACCACCTAAATATACAGAAATCAACATTTAAATGTGAAGGGGTAAACAAAATAAGCAAAAATCTACATGACAAGCTAGAAGCAGAAGATCAAATTATGTCTAATGACAGAATGAAAATTATCCAGAAGTTTGGATTTGGAAATGGCATTGATGACCGGGGAATCAATATCGTCATAAACATTGGCCAACCTCAACAAATTCTGGCGATTTTCACATTTCCACCTAAGACTGAAGATGCTGATGGAATCACTATGGATGAAGATGATGCACCCATTGTTGACACAACAGTCTTAGTTTCACCAAAAGAGCTTAAAAGCATGTCGATTCTGTGAGAAAATTTTATTGTGTACAGATTTTACGGTTGCATTTTTCGTAAATGGAAGACTTAGAAATATCTCAAAACCATTTTAGGTTGAATGAGAAATTAATTTTAAGTGTGACATGTGAATAAATGAGTTTTAGTAGCTCCAAAGTTGTTTGGAATTGAGAACGGACAAGTTCGGTCACGAAAAGGTCTAAAGCCGCACATGGTATAGTGCAGAGACAAACTCTGGGCGGAGACAGAGTTTGTATGGATACACGCAGCGCCATCCTACGCCCCTAGCGCGAATACTGGGCATTTAATGCTTTTTGCGCCTTTTTTTGTGTATAAATACCAAGTGTTTCTTTTTCTTTTTCTTTTCTCGAACAGTAGTTCGATCTGAAGTATTATGAACTCGAATTATGTTGATGAACTTCGTTGAGGAAAGATTTCCTACACTTTCTCTTTCTTACAAAAATATTCTGGCATGAAGTTAAGGCCTCGAATTTATTAGTTACTTGAGCTGCATGTGTCTTTCACAATAGTAAGGGGCGCAATTTAATTTTTATAATCTTAGCACACGGGAAAGATGAAGAGTTTGTTTTCGTTCCTTTTGTTCTCGTTCTGCTCGATTTATGCTGATCATACAATGTAATGGTATATCTAGCATGACCTGTTATGTGTTTCCTCAACTTTGTATTTTCTTGTAGATTAAAAATGTGCTACATTTACATTTTGGAGAACAATGGAATGAAGTGAATGGAAACAGAATGATATGAAACTATGTTGTTTGTGCGACTATACGAATGTTTTTGGTTTCTTAAATTTTTTTTGTAGTAAGCAAAGTGGATCTATCAAGAACTTATAATTTTGATGTATTTTCTCTTCAGTAATTGAGGCAAACTGCGAGATTTTAGATTACTGAAAAAAGTCTCGTGTTATCTATACGTTGAATTATCCCGCTTTTTGATTGTTCCATCTGTTAAATTTTTTCGAGTTTGAGACATGATCTTCAGTATACCTAAGTGACAACAAGTATAATATAAATTCTCTGAACTTTTGCTTCTCTGTAGGTTATTACCTCGAACTTATATAAACAACATTTAGGCTTACAATTACTGTGAAAACATTGTGATTAAACAACATTCAGGCTTACAAAAAGCTTATCATTTATTCTTTTTCATGTACACTGTGATTATTAAACATGCTAGCACCCGATTCGCGCAGCATAGAAACCACCCGGCGCATGGAGGGACGACTGGTCGGGAGTGTACTGCTACAGACGAGTCCAATATCAATAACCTTGCGAATGTGTTCGTGGAATGATGAGTCGAGATTCGGGTCAATCACTTGATCTATCCCTCCGCTTTCCAAGGTTGTAGAGACCCAAGTGGCCAAATCTCGGCCCCCAAGTTCCGGGTCAGTCGGCAATTTTCGGGTTACGAGCTCCAGAATGACTATTCCGAAGCTGTAGATGTCGCTCTTTTCATTTACGCGCAGCGTGTATGCGTATTCTGTATTAAATTCTCAACCATATGTTAGCTTGAGCTGAAACTGAGGACTATGCAGCCAAAATTTAGGTTATATTTAGTAAAACTAGCTAATAGATTATAAATGATTTTCGAGAGCTTATTAGTGTATTTGGTAAGCTTATAAGCTTCCTGTATTCAAATAAACTTGGTTTGGTAAGACGAGTGTTTTTAAAAAGCTCGAGCTTATCTCATCATAAGCTTCTCTTGATAGCTTTTCAAATAAGTTTATTGAAATTTTTATTTCAGCTAGCTTATCAGCTAATTTTACTAAACACTTTTATCATATAAGTTAGCTTTTTCAACCATAAGTCATAAGCTATCAGCTATAAGTTCGAAATTTACTTAAAAGTTATAAGCTAGCTTATCAGCAAGGTTTACCAAACATAACCTATAGCTTATGACTTATAGTTGAAAACCTAGCTCATATAATAAAAGTGTTCAGTAAAATTAAGTGAAATAAAAATTTGAACGAACTTATTTGAAAAGCTACCCGAAAAAAAAGCTCGTCCTACCAAATGAACTTTTATTTGAATACACAAAGCTTATAAGCTAACCAAATAAGCTAAAAGCTAGCTTATATGCTTACCGAAGACAGCCTAAATGTGACATATTTCTAGTGTAGCTTGAAGTTACTAAGAATGTTGCTTAACAAAAAATCACCTGGTGCAATGTAACCACATGAACCAGCAATGACAGACATGGACTCCACACCATTCTCAACTTCCTTCACGACCTTAGCTACACCAAAATCCGAGATTTTAACACCGAACTCCTCGTCGAGTAGCAGATTGTTCGACTTTACGTCCCTATGCACAATCGGCGGATCACAATCGTGGTGCAAATACGAGAGCCCCTCTGCAGCACCCAAAGCAATAAGAAACCTTGTCGGCCAATCCAAAAACTCACTCTCTTTTTCGCCGCCATGCAGCAAATCCCCTAAACTCCCGTTCGGCATGTACTCATACACCAAGAGCTTGTAGTTCTCCGCATCACAACAGCTCAACAATTTCACGATATTCTTGTGTCTTATTTTCCCTAGCGTCTCGACTTCGACATCAAATTCAGGGTTGTTTTCGTCATTTTCGCACTTCTCGTGCAGCTTTTTCACCGCTACTTCCTCCCCATTGCTCGTGACGAGTTTGTAGACTTTACCGGAGGCTCCTCCACCAATCACGTTTGACTCTTTTAAGTCGTTGATAATTTCGCTGTCGTTAAAGGCAAGCTTATGGAAGGAAGTCCACTTAGTTACTGCAGCTCGATCTTTCTTAGCCATTTGCTCGATTTTCCTGCACCTCAACGAAACAAACCATATGATCCCGACTAATAAAACAAGGCTCGTTGTGGTGAAAACGAACCTCGTCACCCATAAAAAGACTCGATCCTCTTCTTCTGCCTTGCGATTGCACGAGCTGGAATTATAGAAGCAAAGCTCGGGATTTCCGAGAAAACTGTCCCGATGAGCTTCGTCTGAGAAGAGAGGAGGCACGTCCCCCGAAAGCATATTTTGTGACAGGTTTAAGCTATTGAGCTTCAGATTCTGCAACGACAACGGGATTTCGCCGGAAAAGTTGTTATTCGAGAGATCGAGGTAGTTGAGCGTCGGGAGGTGCCCGAGCTTGTCCGGTATATGTCCCGATAATCGATTATTTCCCAAATCGAGCTCGTTTAGCAACTTCAGAGAGTTGATCTCTTTCGGAATCCCACCGGATAAATTGTTATTGCTCAAGTCAAGCCTTCCGAGCTGCCTTAAGTTTATAATGCTGCTCGGGATTTCTCCGGTGAGAAAGTTACTTCCGGCAGAAAAATCGACCAAACAGTCTAATTGCCCGATTTCGCTCGGTATGCTTCCCGAGAATCTGTTATTCGAAATCGCGAGGACGGATAAGTTCTTCGCGCCGCCTATCGTGCTCGAGATATTTCCGGAAAGTTCATTTCCCGAGAGCTCGAGAAGGTAAACCCGCGGTAAGCCCCATAGCTGAGGTGGAACTTCGCCCTGCAGCCTGTTGCCTCTCAACCGTACGCGTAGTAAACTCGGGCAATTTCCGAGATTCGCCGGAATATTCCCTGTTAATGCATTGTTCAACATAATTAATTCCACCAATGCCTTATTCAGGCACAAAAGCTCGGGGATTTCGCCCGAGAGATGACTATTATACGACACGTCTAGAATTTGCAGAGGCGAGTTCTTGCCGAGATCGCTCGGCAAAGTTCCCCTCAGCCGATTATCAAACAGCCTGAGCTCGTGCAAGTTAGCTGACGTGGCGATGCTATCCGGGATTATCCCTTCAAGTCGATTCTCGTACAAGGCAAGCGACTCGAGAGGCAACTCGCAGAGCTCAACCGGGATAATCCCAGTCAACTCGTTCATAGACGAGTCAAATCTTCTCAACTTAGTCAGATTAGACCATCCGGCGGGAAGAGTCCCGTTGAGCGAGTTGTTGTACAGCTCAATTTGGACAATACTTGTCATGTGCGTGATTTGGGCCGGTATGGGCCCAGTTAGCCCGTTACAGGCCAGGTCCAGATTCTGAATCCGTGATAAGTGGCCGATGCTGATTGGGATGCGGCCCACGAGCTGGCAGTTTGTGAGCCAGAGGTATTCTAGGTTGGTCAGGTTGCCTAGCTCGGCGGGTATGGGGCCCGGCGAGAACGGGTTGTAAGCCAGTTGAAGATTTTTTAGTGTCGTGATGTTTCCGAGAGCGGATGGGATTGTGCCGTTTAGGAGGTTGAACACGAGGATGAGAGATTCGAGACGTTTGAATCGGCCGAAAGCTGTCGGAATGTCGCCTGAGAAGTTGTTTCCCATTAGATTAAGGTACCTGGAAAACGAATTTTTTTAGTTCTACTGGTTTAACGTCGTCATAGCAACTTTAGTCTCAAGTTCCGACATTTTGCTTTTTTTTTTGTCATGTGATTTATTATTTTAATGTAATTACAGTTCATTTGAAGACTGAAATTGCAACAAATTCTCATATTCCTAGATTTTTTATTAGCAATTCTAAGTACTGTAATTTAAAATTTTGTTGCAATAAATCGAGAATATTAATCCACGATTGTTTCTCGACTCACCTGAGGGAGTGGAGGTCGGCAAGGGTTGGTGGGAGAGGGCCGACGAGCAGATTCTCGGAGAGGTCGAGGTAGACGAGGCTCCGGCAGCTGGAGATGGCTAGTGGGAGTGTGCCGTTGATGTTGTTGTCGGAAAGTGAGAGATTAGAGAGGGACGGCAGGCAGCAGAGCTCGATCGGGAAGGGGCCGGCGAGGGAGGCGCTCGGGAGAGACACCGACACGACGGATCCCCGCCGGTCGCAGGCGACACCTGTCCAGTTGCAGGGGGCGGCGCCGCCGCCGCCGCCGGAGGTCCAGCTGTCGAGGGCTCTGGATGTGTCGGAGAGTGATAGCCTCATCTGCCGGAGAACGAGCATCTCCTGGTTTAGAGCCAGCGACCGGCGGCTCAGGTAGAGATATATCAGCAGCGACAAAACGGCGGTGATTTTCGCTCGCATGGCGGCTAGTGTGTGTGTGTGTGTTTTATTTTTTTCTTTTTGTATTTTAGTGAGGGGGTTTGAAGAAAAATGTGAGGGTGCTGGGACTTTTGGTGTGAGCGAAAAAGTTCTTCTCTTTTCTTTTTTTCGGGAGAGTGTGGGGTCCACAGTGTGATTAGGATGGGATTTGGGGTGGATCTGATGTGGACTTTCTATGTTGTCTAGGTTCATAATTTCATTGCATGTTTTTTATTTCTTTTTTTTTTTTAAAAAAAAAAAATACTTTTCGGGGTCTCCTAAGTTTCGTTCAAGTTTTCAACTGATTTGTAGTATTTTGTACGACGACGAATAGTTGGATAATGGACAGGATCGTGATTCTTGAGATCTTGGCGTGCTTTGTGCTATCGAGTGGTTAGTAATGTCGGATTATGGCAGGAAATTATGTATTTGCATTACTGACGTGAGTCAAACGATTATTATGATCACGTAAGAAATTTGAGACTGAGAGTTTGTGGATATAAATAAAAACTGGGTTTTATTGAATTTTGAGTTGAAATGAATTAGTTTTAAATAAAGTTAATTGAGTGCAGGATTGGAGGAAATTTTGAGAGTATTTAAATAATATTTTAATTTAATAATTAAAGTTGATGTGATGTAAAAGTATGAGAGCAGTTATTAAAAGTGATAGATATGAACCTAAAGTTGATGTGATGTGTGAAATGATTGATTGATATTATTTAATTTATATTGATAATATTGAGGATAGTTAGTTTGATTAAATTTGATTTGATTTTGAGTTAAAAAGTGAAAAAAATTATGAGGTTGATTAAAATCGATTTTAGTGTGTAGCCAATTAATCGCCCCCAGTACAAAATGGATAAATGGGCAAATTTGATCCTATCAGTGACTGGCATTGTCGTGGTTGATTGGTTTTTAATTTTTTGCTTTTCCATTGGATTGCATACGTACGCACACACCTACTTGAATGTGTTTTGATCCAACGATAAAAAAGTCGTTAAATGTAAAATCAAAATTTTCTACATAAACGAGCATTACTTTAGATTCTTTGTAAAGATGCTTTATCGTGTGTCCATTTTATGACGGTCACGCACTTGCTTTACAAAAACTAATTTACCGTTCGTAAAATAACTTTCTTTTCTAAATCATTCTCAGTTTTTTTTTTTTTTTTTTTTCNTAGTACTACGAGAACAAAAATTCTATAGAGTAATCAAATGGTTTTCTTATGTTGTCATCCATTACCTAGTGTAATGACACATGTCCAAAGTATATTTATTGTAGGACACATGTCAATACACTATTTATGAATAAGTATGGATGACTCCATAAGTCGTGAAATCCGATGACTCAATAGCAAAACTGACTACGAGAAATTTGAGTTTCACCAACAGATATTGACAAACAAATTCATCAAAGGATTGGCAAGAGATTTTGTTAACTTGTTAAATAAAGGCCAAAGCCCGCAGGCCGCCCCATCTCGCCACACCAAAAGGATGAATGTTGGGTCAGGCTAAGATTTTAAAAACCCGCCAAGAGCATATCCAATTACATATTATTCAATTTGTGCTGGATGGCAAGGAGAAATGAAATTGAGTAATTGTGTCTCCAATGATTAATGTTAAAAATTGTTTAATTTGACAAGTGAAATGATAATTGATTGAAGAAGAGATAAAAAGTTAAATAAATAATATAATATATAATATAAATTGTCTAGAAGTACTTTACATCTAGACAAATTTCCAAAATTGTTTTATCTCACATAAATTTTTTGTGCTATGTGAAAACAAAAATTGAGCAATCCAAAGACTATACGAAGATGCTCTAAGGAACAGACGTAAGTAGACTACCTCGTGCATTTGGTGCAGGTTGTCCCTGCCCCGCCCGCCCAATTAAATAACAAAAAACTAAAATAATCAAGAGTGAAACGTAAAAACTATACATACCAATAACTCTAGGCGTTAATATATATATCAATAATTTGAGATGACAGGATGATTCCAATTCGATTTCATTCCATGAATAATTTTACTTTTTCTATTTATTCCACTGGCATATTCAATATAATTTTTTAATTAAACATTTATCATTGCTATATAATTATCCATAAAATTTATTATCCATCCATTCATATATTTTGTAACTAGTGCGTGGCCCGTGCGGTACACCGAAAGGGCTGAAAGGACCGAGAACCGGTTTTTAAATGACATTAATCATGATTTGCCTATTGTTTTTAAATTAAATCGGGTTGGACACAGTCCTACCGGAAGGACCGAGAACCGGTTTAAAATCAGTCTAATTTGCTTGAATAAAATATTTGCTCTCGAATCCGTCAACACCAGTCGGTTGGACTGGTAGGATCGATATAATTTTCTAAATAAATTTTGTTATATTTAAAATTATAGTAAATAAAATTACATATTTAAATAAAATAGAGATTTATAAATTATTTATCAATTAGTTTAAACATTTGAACTTATAATTGTTTAGATATCTAAATAAAATATTATAATTAAATTTATTACAGAAAGTACTATATATATATATAGTAAAATGTTTATAAATTAAAATCTAAACAAACCACAAATGATTTAATAAAATAGCTTGATCGTTTCGATGACGGTCCAGTTCTGAAAACCTTATATTTACTGTACATTAATAAATATTATAATAAAATATTATTTAATTCACATAAATATTAATAAAATGATATATAAATATTCATAAATCATTAAACATGTTGTCATAAAAGTATAGTTAATACGATTATTTGAAGTTTGGACTACATCACATTCAAGTTTAGGTTCAATAATCGATTTGATGTGGTCGAACTGATACATAACTTAGTCACTTGGGACCAACCAAGTTGTGTCAAGTTTTTTGACTATTTTAAATATCACCTAAAAGTAATTCAGTCGACCAGGGCAGTACTCTAATTCAATGACCCGATTAATCCGAAAAAATTTTCTTATTTTCTTTAAATATATTTAATTTTATAAAAAAATATTTTATGATTCATATAATAAATTTCTACACCAAATGATAGTATATTAAGATTATAACTTAGATATCTAAAGATGAATTCATTATTTTTATTTTATGCATATTAATAAAAAATAAACATAGTAATTTTTTAAAAAATTACGATTAATTGATTGATTATGCAATTTAAAGAATACTAGTGTATATCCCGTGCGATGCACGGAAAAGTTCATATTTTAAACATTTTTTAGTCTTTATTTTAAATATAATTATTTATATTTTTCACATCTCGTCTATTATGAAAATAAAATAAATACAATCAATGAAAAATATATAATATTAAATACTTTTCTTTATACAATATTTTTTATGTAAGGAATATTATTAAACCTTAGGGTTTTGATTTGTTTTTTTAAATCAATAATCCAAAATATATGATTGTTAACGTATAAAAAATAATGGAAATAATCCAGACTTTAAAGTAAAGCTATTTTTTATTATTTTACAAATAAAAATCTTCCAATTTTTTTTTTAATTTCAAAAAAAAATTGGCAAGTTTGATAATGAGTTAAATCAAGTTATACAAATGATTAAATAGTTAAAATGTTATATTAATTATATTTTAAGAAATCCGATTATATAAAAATGAGTAAAAAAATATTATACTAATTAGTTTGTTAGGATTGTGATTATATGGAAGTTAAAATAAAATGAAATGTAACCAAAAAATTTGTTCGTGGTTTTTTCCTAAATGTTTGAATTTAAGAATCTAGTAACCAAATTTACATTATATAACGTAGGGAAAAAAATAAATAATAAATATTTATTAAAGAGATAAATCAATAATCTTTATCACTTAGATAATAAATAATAAATATTTACATGTAAAAATATAAATAATAATATATTTAAAAATATAAGTCAGAATTTCAAATAAAGTAAAAGGAGGGATAACTCATTTTTTAAAAAAAGTTTCTAAATATTTAATATATTGATAAGTATCTCCATAAGAATAATCATAATAAGAATAATCATACCATTTTAATTTAAAAAAAATTGGCAAGTTTGTTAGAGAGATAAATCGGGTTAATGACTAATTTGTTAAGATATTATATTAATTGTATCATAAAAAATCGGTTAGATAATGTAGATAAAAAAATGTAATACTAATTAGTTTGTTAGAAATGTGATAATGAAAACTAAGATAAAATGAAATTTACCCAAAAGAATTGTTTGGAATCTTTTCCTTTAAATGTTTGTTTACAAATTTAATACCGAAATTCTATTATATCACATAAGGAAAAAATAAATAATAAACGTTTATTAATATATTAAAATATGTAATTTTGAATTTCATATAAAGTAAAAGGTTGCTTATTCAAATTTATTTTTAAAATAAAAGTTATGATAAACATTTATTGATTCTCTTTCAAATATATTAATAAAAATATAAATCTAAACAAATTTTGAAACAACCAAAAAAATCGGATTGATTGGCATAAAAAAAAGGAAGTGAAATCGGATTTGAATGCTAAAATCGGAACACCTTACCAAATTGAATGCTAAAAGATTCGATTTGATTGGTTACCTAATTGCATGGGTTGAAAAAATTCAAAAAAAAATTTTACGAATTGAAGAAGCGGGAAAAACACTATATTGAAGCGGGAAAACTGAAATAATTATTTTCGGATTGTTCAAATAATTTTTCTTCTCCGTATTATATAGTAATAGATTTTTAGCGTTCAATAATTATTTTAAAGGCACAAATATAAAAACCGAGATTCTAAAACTTTTGTCATATTTTGAATTGAGATTTTATAAATATAGAGACTGAGATTTTAATGTTGTTCATTGTTTCTAAGAAAAAAATAAAAACAAAAACATAAAGACTTAATAAATCTTAGCCAAATTTTTTAAATAATAAAATAAACTAAAACCCGAAATTTAAGGTAGCATTTAATGTTGTATGATTTTAAAAAAAAAATAAAAAAAATAATAAAACTTACTATTTATAAGCTGTATTAAATTTTGGCCTATTTTTGGTAATGTTAATTCTTACTATATATATATAT